GTAGGGGCTGACGCTCTAGTGGGGCCCGCAGGGGCCCCTAGGGGCCCCAAAGGTTCTATAGGGGCCCCCCTAATTGCTACCCATAGCGCTGTACGAGCTGCACTGAATAACATTTAATAAGGGGCCTCGTCTATGGGGGCCCCCCATGGGGGCCCCCTAACACAGGGCTTTATAGAGCTAATACTCAACAGCAAAAGAAACAGTAATTATGTTTTTTTATTTATTTTACTATTGATACTCCAGACAAAAGACAAAGACCTGCATATAAAGCCTTGCAGCAGTAGCACATTATAATGTAAGGGGGGCCCCCGAGGGGCCCCTGTGGGGCCCCCGACGCCTTCGCTAGAGGGGGCCCCCCATGGGGGGCCCCCCTCCATGTCTTGTCTGTGAAGTTGCATTTGCATGCGGTAGCATTTATTCATAAAGAGTTAAAATGCTGTTTTAATGTTTGGGGCTTTCTAAGGTTTCTGTGAGGAGTAGAGAGACACGTTCTGCGATATAGAGGGGACCCTTTCTCCTGTTGTTAAGCGCTCAGTCCGTGGGCTAGCTAGCTAGCTAGCTAGCTAGCTAACTGGCTAGCTACCTAGCCGGCTGGATCGACAGCTAACTAGCTAACTAGTTAAGCACCTCCTTACCCGGCTAGCTAACTAGCTAACTAGCTAACTAGCTGGCTTGCTAACTAGCTAACTTGCTAGCTTGCTAACTAGCTAACTTGCTAAAGAGCTGGCCAGTTCAATACCTAGAGGCGCTACCACCCTGTAGCTAGCTAGCGAGCCGATGGGCCAGCTAGCTGGCCCCTAACCCTGCTAGATGGCTAGCTAACTAGATGGCTAGCTAGCTAGCCCTTAAACTAGCTAGCTAGCCAGATAGCTATCCATTTAGCTATCTAGCTAGCTAGCTAGCAGGCAATGTATTGAGGTATGGCGATTAACCGAGCTACTGATCTCTGTGCTCTCTGCGGGGCACAGAGGAGAGAAAAACGGCAGACTCAGCCTTCCTACTACAGCAGCAGCAGCAGCAGCAGGAATAATAGTAGCAGCAGCAGCAGGACTAATAGCAGCAGCAGCAGGACTAAGAGCAGCAGCAGCAGCCTTGTGATGAACGTAAACGGACAACTAACTCTTTAGAGTGTCTGGGCAAGGCAGCAAAAGGAAGCATTAAATGCTAAGAGAAACTGCAGGGGGCCCCCGCATATTAATGCTGATGGGGCCCTCCTTGACTGCTGGGGGCCCTTCATTTACCTGCAGCTTAGGCCCAGCAGCAGAACCAGCAGCAGCAGCGGCTGCTGCTGCTGCTGCTGCTGCTGCTGCTGCTGCCAACAGAACCCTTCCTGAGGGCCCCCGTGACATACGAAACCACTCGAGGGGCCCCTGCCTCAGGGTTTAGACAGGCTGCTGTCTATTGCCAGTAAGGAAGGGCATTAAGGGCTGCCGTGCATGCACACAAACAAAAAGAAAACGAACCTCAAGCACCAGCAGCAGCAGCAGCAGAAGCAGCAGCAGCAGCAGAAACAGGAGAAGCAGCAGCAGCAGCAGAAGCAGAAGGAGCAGCAGCAGCAGCAGAAGCAGCAGCAGCAACAGCGACAGCAAGCCTAACTCACTGTATGTCTTCAGGGTTGAGGAGGAGCTGTATTTTGAAGTCTGCTGCTTCCTTGGGTTCCTCGGAGCCCTCCAAATCTGCAGCGCAATCATACACAAGCTGCTGCTGCTGCTGCTGCTTGCTGCTGCTGCTGCTGCTGTTGCTGCTGCTGTTGCTGCTGCTGTTGCTGCTGCTGCTGCTGCGGTACTGGAGAAGGAGCCCGTATTGGGGTGTATCGGCAGCTTACGGGGCCCCTCTTCTGTCTCTTCTTCTGTCTCCTGCAGAATCTTCACCTTCCTCGCGTTCGTCAGCTGCAGCAAAGCGCACACACCGGGCAGCTCTTGCTGCTGCAGTTGCTGCTGCTGTTGGTGCTGCTGCTGCTGGGGAAGGAGGGCCCTTCAGTATACAGCGAACGCTCTGGGGGGGGGGCCCCCAGGGGCCCCCAGTACCCTTTCTTACAATGAGAGTCGTAAGGAAGGCGCGGCATATTTCATATCGAGGCTTTCCTCGAACTAAAGAAGCAAATGTAGCCGTAGGCAAACTGCTGCTGCTGCTGCTGCTGCTGCTGCTGGCGGTGGGTGGGTCAACTGCAGCAGGAGAAGCAGCAGCAGAGGCTGTCTCGCTGACAGCCTCTACGTCCATTAGGGCTGCAGGAGCCTGCAGCAACACAGCAGCAGCAACACAGCAGCAAAGCAGCACAGCAGCAAAGCAGCAACAAAGTGTTTGAGAGCCAAGGCAGCAGGAAGCACGCAGCAGCAAACTTCACTGGGCTGTCGGGGCGCAGCAGGCAGCGAAACAGCGAACTTGCCTGCTGCTGCTGCTGCTGCTGCTGCTGCTGCTGCTGCAGGCGGAAGGCATCTCTTAGCAGCGAATCTTCGCAGGCCCTGATGTCGAATGAAGGAAGAGACTGCAGCGTCAGCAGCTGATCCTCCACATACGCGTTCCAGTGGGCCACCCTGCAGCAGCAGCAGCAGCAGCAGCAGCAGCAAAGGCAGCAGCATAAAGCAGCAGCAGCAAAACCAGCAGCAGCAGTAGCAGCAGGAGCACAAACAACAGCAGCAGCAGCACATACAACAGCAGCACAGGCGGGATGGAGAGGAGCAGCGGATGCCAGCAGACCTTTCCTTGGACCGGCAGCAGCAGCAGCAGCAGCAGTAACAGCAGCAGTAGCAGCATCAGTAACGCCAGCAGCTGCAGCAACTGCCGCAGCTGCAGCAGCAGGCTGCAGGAGGGGCGAGGTGTAACAGCAAGAAGGGACATTACCGCATTTGTATTGCGAATTCTTCATCTGCTGCTGCTGCTGCTGCAGCTCCTCCTTCTGCTTGTTTAGCTGCTGCTGCTGCTGCTGCGTTGAGCTCCTGAGGCCGAGAGACAGCACGAGCAGCAGCAAGGAGACACATCTCCAGCACAACTGCAGCAGCCCCTTAGTGCTGCTATTGTGGGGCCCCAAGCTCGTCTGCACCTGCCTATACACCTGAAAGGTGCGGAGACAGCCGCCAGCTGCAGCAGCAGCAGCAGCAGCAGCAAACGCCTACCGCCATCCGTTCTCTTTGGGCGCGGCAAATTTCCTCTTCTATCGCCGCTGTCTCCTCGCAACTTAGACGCAAGTCCCCGCAGGCAGGAACCTCTCCCTCCTGCACCAGCAGCAGCAGCAGCAGCAGCAGCAGCAGCAGCAGCAGTAACGGCAACAGCAGCACGGGTGCAGTGGTAGCGGCAGCAAACGTGACAGCCGTAGCATATCGTCACTCAACTGCAGCACCTCCCCGCACATTCACAACAAGGCGCTTCTTTTGCTGCTACTGCTGCTGCTATTGCTGCTGCTGCTGCAACCAGGAGCTCTCTGAAGCAGCAGCAGCAGCAGCAGCTTTAGGGACCCACAAATGCATCAGGGAATGCCTCCTCTTCTCTGTCGGCTTCCAGCAGCGCCAAGGACTCCTCTGCTGCAGCAGCTTCTGCCTGCGCAGCAGCTGCAGCTGCAGCAGCAGCTGCTGCTGCTTCTGCTGCTGCTTCTGCCGCGGCTGCTGCGGACGCATTCAAGACGCGAACCCGCGGAAGGATTATTCGGGCCTGTCGCCTGCAAGCTGCTCGCTGCAAGCACCAAAAAGAGCAGCAGCAGCAGCAGAGAGAACAGCAGCGAACAGCAGCAGCAGCAGCAACCAGCAGCAGCAGCAGCAGCAGAATCACCACCACGAGAGGCACTGATTTGGGTCCGTTGTTATTGCAGCGCAGTATACAGCAATAAACTTGTACAAAGGAACAAGGGAAGAAGCAGAGATACCTGTAAGCAGCAGCAGCAGCAGCAGCAGCAGCAGCAGCAACTGCTGCTCTTCCTGCTGCTGCTGCTGCGCTTGGCATGCCTGCTATTTCGTGGAGGTCGACGCTCTAGGGAAGGCAAGGGTTTAGTGTTTTTGGCTTAGGGTTTAGGGTTTAGTGCTTGCGGACTAGGGTTTAGGGTTTAGGGTTTAGGGTTTGACGTACCTGCATCTTTAGGGCCTGTTTCCTCGCTGCAAGACATTCCTTCAGCCGCAGCAGCAGCAAATCGTCTGCCCACTGCCACCGGTGCAACCACTGCACCCGCTGCTGCTGCTGCTGCTGCTGCTGCAGTTGCTGCTGGTTGTTTATAGGGGGGCAAAACAGCCTCCTGAGGAGGCGCCTGTGGGGGGCCCCCGGCAGTTTAACCGCTGGGTACCCGGGGAGTGTGCTGTACCCTGGGGCCCCGAAGGGGGCCCCTGGGGGCCCCCCCTTGTCAGCGGGGGCCCCCACAGTGGGGCCCCCCTGGGTGTTAGGAGACGGCAGCAGCGGCCAGAGGCCCCTGAGGAGGGCTTCCTGACCCTCTCGAGTGGAGGCCCTGTGCAACAGCAGGGGCCCCCCTGGGCTTTGCAATAAGGGGTCTCCCTCGGGGGCCCCCAAGATGCTTGCAGGGGGAGCCCTGCGCCAAACAGCAGCAGCAGCAGCACACACATACACACATACACACATACGTACATACATGCAGCTAGCCTTTCAGGTGCATGCACACCTGCAGCAGCAGCAGCAGCAGCAGCAGCAGAAGCTACGCATGCGCATATAAGCCAGGACCCCACACTACTTCAATCATACACCACAACCTCCCACCTGCACGGGGGGCCCCCCCCAGGGCCCTTATTTTCTTTCGGTTGTTCGCAGCTGCTGGGTAAGTTCATTAAAAAGTATCGAGGCCGCCGCTTGAGGGGCCCCTCAAGCTCCTGGGGCCCCTGGGGCCCCTGGGGGTCCTGGGGGCCCCCTGTGTTGTTCCCAGAGGTGCGGAGTAGCAGCTGCTGCAAGGCAGCAGCTGTGAGGCCCCCAGGGCCCCCAGGGGCCCCGGGGCCCCCCCCGGGGGCCCCTGCTCTGTGCTCATTTGTTATTTTTTGTCTTATAGAAAGCAAATCAAGATGAAGACGCGCCGAAAGGGAAAGGCCCCTAAGGAAGTCGCGAGATGCATGCAGAGGACCAGGGGACCCCAAATGAGTACCATACAGAACTGCAGCGCAGCAGCAGCAGCAGCAGCAACAACAGCAGCAGCAACAGCAGCACATGAGATGCGCAGCTAAAGCAGAGATTCGCATGCTGCTGCTTCGGCTGCCGTTGATGCTGTATTTGCTGCTACTGTATTTGCTGCTGCTGCACTTCTTGTGTCTTCTGAATCAACTGCTGCTGAATTTGCTGCTGCTGCTGTTCTTGCTGCTGCTGCTGCTCTTGCTGCTGCTGCTGCTGCTGCCGTATCTCTCACAGTTTAGGAAGGCAAGGCGGTGGGGTGGGGGCCCCTCAGGGGCCCCTGTTGTTTCTGGTGTTTGTTCTTCTCCAGGGAGGCCGAGGCAAGCCCAAGCCTCTGCTGCTGCACTTAAAGACAAAGAAGAAGAAGAAACTTCATGGGGGCCCCCCGGGGGGCCCCCCCTTCCTTCTAGCAAGAGGGCCTGAACCCAGGAGTCCGGTGCTTCAAGCCTAGGAGGAGGAGAGGGGGCCCCCGACGAAGGGGCAGCAACTGCTGCAGCAGCAGCTGCTGCTGCAGGCAACCCATTCTGGGGCCCCTGATCAGCTGGGGGGCCCCGGGGCCCTTGCAGTTGCTGCTGTTCTGAAGTGGGGCCCCCCTCAGCTGCTGCGAAGAAGTCCGGGTATTCCTCCCAGGTGTCTCCTATACCCTGTTCAGCAGCAACAGGCGGCAGCAGCAGAGCCGAGGGGCCCCCAACCCCACGGGGGCCCCCAACACCCCGGGGGCCCCCCGGCCCCCCAGAGGGGGGGCCCCCCTGGGCAAGAGAGAGATAGGCTGCTGCATCTGATGAAGTGGCGAGGAGGCCCCCCGTATCCCTGTGCACCTTCAAGCTAGTTACCTGCAACAGCAGCAGCAACAACAACAGCAACAGCAGCAGCAGCAGCAGCAACAGCAGCAGCTATAGAGTAGCAGAAACACCAGTAGTAGCACCAATAGCAACAGCAACAACAGCAACAGCTGTAACAGCAACAGCAATAGCAACACCAGTAGCAGCACCGGCAACAGCAGCAGCAACGGGAGCAGCAGCAGCTGCTGCTGCTGCTCCTGCTGCTGGCAGGGGGCAGGGGGGCCCCCCTGCTTCATTAGAGGAGTCCTTTGCTGTCCCTCCCCACCTATTAATTGCATCTTACAGGGGCCCCCGTCTCCTTTCGCTTCTTACCCTGAGGCCTTGCAGGTCGTTGTACGTGGCCCTAGCCTCTTCATCGGGATCTGCTGCTGCTGCTGCTGCTGCTGCTGGAGCGTGCGGATCCCCCGCGGCCCCGAGGGGCCCTTCTGGGGGCCCTGGAGGCTCGGCGTGGTCGCGCTGCGGCCTTGCTGCTGCTGCTGCTGCTGCTGCGGCTGTGGGGCCCCTAAGAACGGAAGGCAGCAGCACACGGTCGGGGGCCCGGGGCCCCTGGGGCCCTGGGGGCCCCTCCTTTGTGAGTTGAGGAGGGGCCTCTGGCAGCAAAAGACAAGGAGCTGTGTCTAGCTGCTGCAGGGTCTGGTTTCTTAGCTGCTGCAGGGTTAGCTGGGGGGCCCCCGAGGCCCCGCTGCGCCCTCTGAGGCCCCCTTCAAGCCCTTGCTGCTGCTGCTGCTGCGCTTGCTGCAGCAGATTAAAGGCCAGTGCATGCAGACGTTCAATCCTCAACCCCCAAACTGCAGCAGACCGCTCCAGCAGCATAGCAGCATGAGAAAACTTCATCGTATGGGCAGGGGGGCCCCCTGGAGAGGGGCCCCCGGGAGCCCCCAGGGAGGGGGCCCCCCCCCCTTCTGGAGATAGAGGGGGGCAGAAAAGAGGGTCTGAGGGGTCCCCATGCTCTCCTGCATGCTCCATCTCTATGAGGCCCTCCTCTGTAAGACGCAGGAAGCCTGAAAGGAGGCCCGCTAAGTCGTACTCCCATATACCTTTTGCTGCTGCTGCTGCTGCTGCTGCTGTTCCGTGGGGGCCCCGCAGCAGCAGCTGCGCAACTTCAGACAAGAAGGCCCCGACAGAATCCTCTTCAGCAGGCTCGCCAGAGGGGCCCCCAAAGGGGGCCCCCGGGGGCCCCTCTTCTCCTTGAGGGCACATAGGAGGGGCCCCCATGCCTTTGAAAAAGTTTGCTGCAGCAGCACTAGGGGCCCCTTTCGGTGCAGGTGGGGGCCCCCTTCCTGTAGGGGCCCCTCAGAGGAAATGAGGGTACCGTGAGATATATGAATGCATGCAGCAGCTTCTGTATCCGGGTGAGCCAAGAGAAGGGCCCCCTAACACCAACCACTTGGGGCCCCTGTACAAGGGCCTCCTGGGGGCCTAAGGGGGCCCTAGAAGGGTCTATTGGGGGCCCCTGGAGGGCCCTGGAGGCCCCTCAGTGAGGGCCCCTCAGGAGGAAGAGACGTGGCTGTCTCTGCCGTCAGAGAGTTCAAGGAGGGCCCCTCATCAGCAGATGTGCTGATAGTGTTTAGGGTTGGGGGCCCCCTTAAGAAAGGTCTCAGGCGGGTGTTGCTTGGGGCAGGGGGCCCCCCAGAAGTGCAGAGGGGCCCCCTTAGAGTAGACAAAAAAGAGTTAAAGGTCTATGTGCTGTGTGAATGCAAACAAAAAAGAAAAAGCTCTAATAAACACACTGGGGGGTGGGGGGCCCCCCCCGCCACCGACCCCAGACTGGGTACCCACTAGCTGGGGCCCCTGAGGGCCCCCTCCTTGCACATATTTCTGCATTAATTATTTTTAGTTAAAATTAACAATATTTTACCCTTATTTTCTTTTTTATTACTCCTTTGGTGTACACAGCACTCGAGCCGCAGCTGCTGCCCCTATAGGGGCCCCGTCGCCTAGCTGTGCTGCTGCTGCTGCTGTTGCTGCTGCTGCTGCTGCTGCTGCTGAAGCCTGGAGTGACGGGGGCCTGTAGGGGCCCCTCCTTTTGTTTATTTGAAGGAGTTCTTAGGGGCCTCTGGGGCCCCTCTTTGGGCACGCTTGCAGACAGTGAAGCGGTGCAGCGGGGGGCCCCAGGGTTTAGGGTTTAGGGTTTAGGGTTTGAGGGTCTAGCTGTTCGCTGCAATGGTGCTGCTGAAGGTCTTAAGAAAGACAAAGGCCAGAGAGAAGGAACTCCGTCTCCTCATGCTGTACGAACACACACAAACAAATATATCTAATATAATACACCGCAGCAAACAACAACAACAACCCCTTCTCTTACTCTCCCCTCTCCTATGACTAGCACATACAAGACCCCTATATAGGCCTGTTAAGGGCCCTCTTGGGCCCCCTATGGGCCCCTAGGGGGCCCCTACGGGGGCATCTGTGTGCAATAGGGGGCCCTCAGGTGGCCCCTAGGGGGCCCTTTGTGGGCCCTAGGGGGCCCCTAGGGGGCCCTTGAGGTTCCCTTGAGGGGCCCTTTTGGGGCCCTTTAGGGTTTATTCGGGGTCCCTTAAAGGGTTCTTTAGGGGGCCCCTTTGGGGGCCCTCTAAGGCCTTCTTTGGGGGGCCCTTTGGGGGCCTCCTGTGAGTTGCTGCGTGTTGATATTACGATATGAACACTGCATTTTGTGCTTGTGTTTTTATTCCTGCTTTTGCGTTTGTATTTCTGCTGCTGCCGCTGCTTCTGCTGCTGCTGCTGCTTCTGCTGCTGCTGCTGCTGATGTTATTAGGGGCCTTGATGGGGCAGGTAAGACGACGTTTGTGCGGCGTTTGAACGGAGGAGACGTTGAGAGTGTCGCGCCTACATTGGGTTTTAGCATTTATACATTTTCTTTGCGAGGGTAAGTAGAAAGGAGACAGTAGAAAGGAGACAGGCATCAAGTGTCTCCTCAGCACAGCCTTATACTGTCTCCTTCCTTCTGCTGCTGCTGCCTGTCTCCTTTTGTGGGGTTATGTTTTTATGCTCGGTGCTGTCTGTCTCTGTTTCTTCGTGTTGTTGTATTTGTCTCTGTCTCTGCTGTCTGTCTCTGTCTCTCTTTATTTTTTTGTCTCTCTTTTTATGTTTTGTGTTTATTTTCGTCTCTGTCTCTTTTTGTCTTTATTTGTGTCTCCGTCTGTCTTTATGTTTTTCTCTCTGTCTCTCTTTGTTTGCTTCTTTCTCTGTCTCTTTGTCTGTTTATTTCTGTCTCTCTCTGTCTCTTAATCTGTTTCTGTCTGTCTCTCTCTTTTTATGTTTTTGTCTGTCTTTGTTTATTTTTGTCTCTGTCTCTTTTTTTGTCTTCTATTTTTTGTTTTGTTTTTATCTTTGTTTGTTTGGGTGATGCCGCGTTGTTTATCTTCATTTACTTCTTTTCTCTCCTTTTCTCCTGCATTATATTTATTATATTTAACATATTAATTATATTTATTATTATTTATTATTATTACAATATTTAATATGTTTATTTTATTTATTTTATTTATTTTATTTATTTTTCTATTGGTTGGATCCTATATTATGTTAATTAATTATAATATAATTTAATTTAAAGCTGTTTAAGAGAGAGACAGACTCATTAATCTTATTAATTAATTAATTCCTATTTAATTGCTATTTATTTAATTTTTATTTAATTTAATTGATATTTATTTAATTTTTGTTTAATTTAATTGATATTTATTTAATAGTAATTAAATGTAATTGATATTTATTTATTATTAATTTAACTTAACCGACATTTATGTAATAAATTATTAATTTAATTTATTTAATATTAATTTAATTTAATTTAATTTAATTTAATTTAATTGATTTGTTTAGGTATCACTTGAGTGTATGGGATGTGGGGGGCCAGCGAACAATTCGCGCTTTTTGGCGGCATTACTTCGAGTGTACAGACGGTCTTCTGTGGATAGTAGATGCAGCAGACAGAGAAAGAATGTGCTGCTGTAGACAAGAGCTTCATACTCTCCTTAAAGAAGAGGTTAGTAATATATATTTATTTATATTAATTAATTTATCAGAGATATAGAGACAGAGAGAGAAAGAGAGAGAGGCAGAGACAGAATACGACAGCAGATTTATTATTTTTTATGTTTTTATGTTATTATCTGTTTGTCTTTGTGTTTATAAACAAAGACACGGTATAAACAAACAAATAATAAGGCTATTTGCATGCATGCACGCGCACTGTCTCTCTTTATGTCTCCTTTCTATCTCTTTCTGTCTCCTTTGATGTTGTTGTGTCTCCTTTGGAGTACTGCTGTTTGTCTCTTTCGTTCTTTTCATCTGTCTCTCCTTGCCTTCATTTGAATTAGGTTTTACTCTCTTTGTTGTTTGTCTGTTTATTTATATTTATTATTTTATGTCTCTGTTTACTGTTTATTTATTTATATTTATTATTTTATGCCTCTGTTTACTGTTTATTTATTTATATTTATTCTTTTATCTCTCTGTTTATTTATTTATATTTATTCTTTTATCTCTCTGTCTCTTTTTTTGTTTTTTCTTTGTTTTCTCCTGGTTGTCTGTTTATTAATTTATTTATTTTTTCTTCATTTTGTCTCTCTGCTTCTTTGCTTGTGTTTGTCTGTCTCTGTCTGATGACTAGATATATGCACATTATTTATTTCCTATTTATATTATATCTTTTAATTTTTTTGTTTTTGTTTGCTTTAGAGACTCGCAGGGGTCCCTGTCTTAGTGATGGCTAATAAACAAGATGTCCCTTCTGCGCTGTCTTCCGATGAGATTCAAGAAGTTAGTTTGTCTATAAATAAATAAATAAATATATAATATATGCATTATATTATATATATATATTTATATATATTATATATAATATCTGTATGTTATATATATAATTTTAGTTTTGATGTAATATCATATGACTCTTTACACGTATATCTATTTATATAATATAATATTAGTATAATATATAATTCAATATAATATAATATAACATACGGTGCTTTCTTCTGTCTCCTTTGCTTTGTCTCCTCTGTCTATGTCTGTTTATCTCCAACCCTTTTTTGTGTTTCTCTCTCTGCTCTTTTTCTTCATCGCCTTTCTTTTATACCTCCTTTCTTGTTTTTGTTGCTGTCTCTGTCTCTTCTGTGTCTCTTTTGTGTCTCCTTGCTGTCTCTCCCTCGTCTCTCTTTTATTTCTTTTCTGTCTCCTTTTCTCTCCACTTGTGTGTCTGTTTTATCTTTGTTTGTTTTTGTTTGTTTATATTTTTATTATTTGTATTTGTTCCCCCTTGCTGCTCTTGTGTCTTGCATTTGTTTGGGGTGTACGTACACCTTAACCCCGCTGCAGTGTGGGGTGCACGCTGCATGCATATATGCATGCATGCATGCAGGCTTTGGGTCTCCTATTTGGGGTGTACGTACACCCCAGCCGAGCAAGCGGCAGTATATTGTGTACGTTGTTGCTGTTTGCATGCATGCAACTGCATGCAGGCTTTGGGGCTGTCAGAGATGAGTGGCAGTCGTCATTGGGCTGTGATGCCCTGCAGCGCGAAGAAGGGGACGGGGCTTTTTGAAGGAGTCTGCTGGCTGGTGGAAGACATTTCGAGCAAAGTTTTTGTGCAGCTTTGAGGTGTACAGACACCCCAAAGGCCAATATATATATATATATA